GCTCGATCATACAATGTAGTTAGATGAACATAAAAAACAATAAGAGCAAAATAAGAATCTAACCTCAAAACACGAATCCAACGGTTCAAACTCTAAGGATCAAGCTTGAAAATCTATTCTCACTTTAAGAACTTCTTCCTCTTCTTCCTAGAGCTTCTCTCTCTACCATGCAAAATATGACACACAATGATATGTTTTCTCCCACTGCCAGCTGACTTAACCCTCTGCTGGGGCACGTGGCACTACCGGATTGGGTTTCCTCAAAAAGGTGACTGAATGACAAAACAAAAGCATGACAAAGGGTGTTCAACAAGTAAGGTGACATGGGCACTCCGACAGGTAAGGACCTTGGATTATGACAAGGTTTCGGCAAGTAAGGTCTTAATGATCTCGACTAGGAAGGTTAACACTTGGCCTAGCTGTGTCACATTTCGGCCTAGATGTGCCACACCTCGATCTAGGTCATACCAGTCCAGGAACAAGATCACCAGGTGCAGGGATCAAAGATCTAAAATACCTAAAGGATAACATCTCAGCTTAGATGATACATATCTCGGCCTCAGTGATGCACACCTCAACCTAGATGATGACATCTCGGCCAATATGCCAGGGTAAAGGTGGAGGTCAACCAAAGTGGTTCCAAGATGGTCCTAGATGTAAAAGGTCCAAAGACGTGACCTAGGCTTAAGATGACCTCGGCTACACACACCAAGCAAGGGACAAAACATACAAACAATACTCAAGCCAAAACACATAGGTACAAAACAAGACGGAAACCTTACTTTAGGCAAAACAAGTCCAAACCATAAGTGCAAGCTTAACAAAACAAAACATGCAGATGCACATGAACATGACTAAGACGAGGATGAGGGTCACTACAGTTAATCATTTGATTTACCCTGTACGTTAGTTATACTTCATTGTTATTTTGCTTGATCATTTACTGCTAAGTTCATCATTGTGCTTATTAATAATTTGTTGTACTAGTAGTTAATTTTATTGGGGTATTATTAATTTTAATTTGTAGAAACCTAATTCACTCCCCCTTTTAGATTGCTTTTTGGGTAACAATTGATATCAGAGCCTGGGGCTCTTGTTTAGGTTTAACAATCTTGAATTTTTTATCCATAGCAACCATGTATTCTACTTACTCTATTGTAGGACAAACTAGCAATAAGCCACCTCTCTTTGATGGTAGTAATTACATTCATTAGAAAGAAAAAATGACTTTGTATCTTCAAGTTACCAATTATGGTTTGTGGCTCATTATCACTAAAGGTCCTAAAATCCCTACTAAGGTAGTAGACCATATCAGTGTGCCTAAACTTGAGGATGAGTTTGATGAGCATGATTATAAACTCCTTCAAGCTAATGCTAAAGCCAAACTTATTCTTGTGTGTGGACTAGATGCAATTGAGTACAATAGAATTTATGGGTGTATTACTGTTAAAGAGATTTGGGATAAACTTGAAATCACCTATAAAGGAACTAGCTAAATAAAAGAGTCTCGGATTAACATGCTTATTCATGATTATGAACTCTTTACTATGGAATCATTTGAATCTATTTCTGAGATGTTTTATAAATTTACCAATATTATTAATGCTCTAAAATTTCTTGGTAAATCTTATTCTAATGGTGAGCTTATGAGAAAAATACTTAGGTCTTTGCCAAATGAATGGGAAGCTAAGGTTACAGCCATCCAAGAAGCAAAAGACCTAACAAAATCAGGCATTGAAGAACTCGTAGGCTCACTCATGGCTCATGAACTTTCAATGATAGATGGCAGCAAAAAAGAAGTTATTTGGGGAGAAAATGATGGAGTAGCCAACCTGTGTCTCATGGCTCTTGGAGAAGAAGAATTCACTCCAGATGAGGTAATTTCTAATTATGTAAAACTTGGAAGTGTTTTCAATGAATTACATGACATATTTAGAAATGTTTGTGTTGAGAATTCTAAATTAAAAAAATTAGTTACTTCTCTTTCAAATGATGTAGATGTTTTAAAAATGAAAAATGCTGCTTTGAAAAATGATTTTACGTCTATTACCAATGAGAAAAACATTTTGAAAAACAATGTTGAGGATTTAAACAAAACTCTTGAAAATTTTGTAAAAGGAAAAGAAAACCTCAACAAGCTTCTTGGAAAATAAAAAATGTGTTTTTGACAAAGTAGGCATTGGTTTTGATCCTCCTAAACCTTTTATGAGATTAAATATTCTTGAGACTAATTTCTATGGACCTAATAAAGTATGGGTACCAAGAAGGAAATCAAGATATTTTGTAGGTGAACTATCAAAGTACACCAAAGACTTCGAGAGGAAATGCACAACAAGAGTGTTCAATCTAAAGAGCAAAATCAGCTCCTACAAGAAGAAGAATGATGAAATGAAAATCACAAAGATGAACAATAGAGGTAATGTATGGGTGAAGATTCCAAAGAGGTAAATGAAGGTATAACTCCTAACACACTTTTAAGCTTAAAGTTATATATTCTTTAATGTGTGATTTGTGTACAGTAGGTTGTGTCTAATCATTGCTTCCATGTAACCTAATTGTACTAAGTTTGCTAAGTCATGTTCTGCTAGTTTCTTTCAAACCTTCATTGAACTCAAAAATGAGAATTATATTATTTTGATGAATGCCTATTAGAATATGAATGATTCATGTATTCATTAACATTGTATATCATGTCATCCATTGCTATGAAAAAGAGATAAGAAGTGATAAATATTTTTTGTGAGTATACTTTTCACATCTTATATATGACTTCATACTAATATGTTAATTCCTTTTTGAGTCATATCTTTGTGGAATCAATTTTGATGTCATAGCATGTTTTTGAGATGTATACTATCTATATTTTGAATTGTACATTTATGATCTCAAGAATATGCTCAATATGAAAATTTCATGCTTATATGCTTCACATTGGAATATTTGAATGAGTTATGAAATTCGTTGATTATGATCCATCAACAATGTCTAAATGAAAAGAAGTATCATATGTTTGTAGAGACATTGCATCTATCCTATTGAATATCTTTTGAATATGGATTATATTGGCATACATCTCATGAAATGCTTTTGATTGATAAATTGTTGAATTAATTGTTTATAACATTCATGTTGTATTCCATATTAAGTAAGATGGTTTATCACACTTGAGCATGTGGATTGAATTGATAAAAATGCCTCTTGATAATGTCATGTGATTAAATGAGATTATTGCATCATTTCTTAGGCCAAGTTTGGGATGCTGCGAAAAAGCCAAAAAGCCAAAAAGTTATCAAAAAAGCCAAAAAGTCACCCTACTTTCATGTTTTGGGCGGCCAAAATTGTGTGTGACCTACGGAGGGTAAAAATACTATTCTGCCCCTGTTTTTTTTATTCCTTCCTCAACCCTTTTAACCTCTCACCCGAAGATCCCCTTCTCTCTCTCTCTCTCTCTCTCTCTGTGTATCAGTCGAGTTCTGCCGAGATAGCCATAAAAGGGGACAATCCGTCTGCGGAGATATCCACACCAGCGACGCCAGAGATCCGTCGCAGCCTTCACCGTCCAGCACCGCAACAGCCGTGGGGAAGTCTGACCTCGACTCGATTGCAACTTAACAGCAACCGACGGCTGTCGGACAATCCGTCGCCCAGATTTGCATTACTTCCGACCAAATCTACACCACGCCGGCCGGTTTCTCCCTAACTACAAGGTAACATCTTTTCCACGCAAATTAATTTTCTCACTCTCGCTCTCCTTTCTCTGATTTTGTTCCAAAACTTTTTCTCTTTTCTACCTCTCTTCTCTTATCTGTAACACCGAAACCCTCTCTTCTCTCTACCAAAACCCTCTATGAATCCGGAACCCAAACCAGATCTACAGATCTGGTTGTAAGATGTTCATTTCGGTTCGGCGATCTGTTTCACGATCTAAGCATCTCTCTATGATTTCAGTTCAAAGTTCACAATCAGTTGAACCCTCTGTCTCTGAAGATGAACAAGACCAACTTCAGGGAAGACGATGACGTTGTTGTTGTGATTGTTGTGTGTCTACGGATTGTTGTTGTAATTTTTTATTTTTGTTATGAAATTTTTTTTTTCTATTTCATAGAGTTTTGCTGGAAATGATGCGGGTGGAAGAAATGGAACACAGAAAACCACTGGGATACTGATCTGCAAATTTTGTTATTGTTTAGTAAAAATGCATTCCTTTATAGCCCATCTGTCCAAAAAATAAAGTACAGCTACTTCAAAAAAATGACACTGATCCTTCTGGGTCTTGGTTGGGCACATTTTTATCTTATGGAAATTTTGGAATCATATTTTGAAAAACGACCTACCATCTTTAATATATTTGTTTTTATGGAGAAGCTTTTCTAATTGAATTTGGTTTTCTGCCATGGAATGTGATATTCATACTTGAGATATTTGTTTAAAGGCACTCTTCATTGCAACCAAAATCCTATATTAAGGGGTTGGAGTAGCATATAAATTGTTTTGAGCATTCGTTGATGTCATTTGTGAAGAGATAATGGTCCATTGACAATTTCCAGGGAACATTCTTTAGGGTTCCTCTGGTAAAGTTGTTCTGTAATGTCCTCTATCACCTTCTAGTTTTACAGACAAGTTCATTATCTAATAGATATTTTGAGGAAGTTTCGGATTAGCATACAATTGTTAGTGTTCATTGATTTCGTTTGTGAAGAGATCCCATTGACCAGGGTACATGCTCTAGGATTTCTGTTGTAAAGTTGTTTCTATATTGTCCACTATGTTGCTTTTTAATTACGCAAATGAGTTCGTTCTGTGGTACACATTTTGAGGAAATCATTGGAGACCTGTAGTATGAGCCGACGAAAAAAACAATAACAATGTTCTAAGACGGTTGTATTGGAGGCTTGTGTTACACAGTTGTTTATATGTTTTTTATTTTATTCGCATTATGAGTTTCAATGTCTTCAATTTTTCCACATATACCATAATTGTTGTTGCATTGTAGTACGCAAATGGAACAGTCCCAAACGCAGTCGATGCCTTCCAAAGCTTTGCGCAAACGCGGTAGTAAACAGACGCAGCAGCAATCCACAAACGTGCATAAAGCATCTTGGGACTCTGACACGGTGCGAATTTTTTTGGAACTTGTTATCAAAGAGTTGGACGTTGGTTTCAAGGGGAGCTTCCATACAATGACAATGCATGGATATCGAGCTATAAGCAAGGGCTTTCTGGACCGTACAAATAAGGTGCATGACGTCAAGCAACTGCAGAACAAGTACGCGTTGCTGAAAAAGGATTGGCAGTCATGGTCGAAATTGATGGACAACAGGCATGGGCCAACCGGCATCAGTTACAATGAAGCCACGGGTTGGATACAAGCATCTGACGACTGGTGGGCACATTACGAAAAGGTAACATTTCCATTGAGTTTTACGTACGTCATTTACATGGATACTTAAACCGTTAGTATTGTCAATGCTTAAGCTTATTTTCAATGGCGCGTTGTGTAGATTATTACGTACACCCTAGTTTTTTTAGTTGGGTCTAAACATAAATAATTGTGACATTTCGTACTGTGTCTCTAATTTAGCCTTGTGGATGTAGCCCACCACCATAGGAATCTCTAATTCATGTTATTATATGTACATAATAATTTAAGAAATAAAATTAGTACATGAAACTTGATTAGAACCTTAAACTAATAACATTTTGGACTGGGACTAGAGTATTACTTTCCACTATCATGGAAATAATATAAAGAAAGAATACATCTTTTCTTTATCCTAATTTTTTTCCCCATTAGATTATTAACATTATTATTTTTCCATTATGCTTACTTAATTTGATAAATTACAAAATGGTTGATAAATGTGAATGATTCTTTGCTTTTTGGGAGGTCACAAAGAAGAACAAAAACTACTATTATACATCATCCTTTATTGGGACAAAAAAGTTAAGTGTTACTACATCTAGAACCATAGTCTCATATTTCAAACCGCTATAATCATCTCTCGCCTTACATGATTATATCTAAGCCATATATTCAACTTACTACTCACTTTCTCTCTAAAATCCACTGAATTACAAAGTACAACATTTCACTCACATTTTCCCCCCCTCTTTCTAAGTTACTTCTCTAAATTAATAATCTAAACACAATCTTAATGCTTGTAAGAAACTTTAGACAAAATACTCGAACGACTCCCTCATAAGGTAGCCTATAAAATAAAATAATAAGTTAATCCGTTGGTTACGAGTTTATGTACCTTAATAAGAAGTTACAATTCATATCTCCTTATTAGCATAGAGGCCTTTCTTTTTGTATTTCTTTGAAATTTTTTTTGACCCGTACGTGTTGTTTGTTTATTACCTTGTATCTCCATTTCAATTTTTTACATAATATTTGTAATGGGGTCTAACTTCTCTGTTAACTGAGGAGAAGATTGAGCCATCTAGTTGGTTCTGTTGAGCCCACTACAGCCTTCAAATTCATAATTCGAACCGTTGCTCCTTTGAATCCGCTGTATGTAAATTATTAATAAAAATATTATTCGCCCAATAATAGTACTCATTTTGACCCAATAAAAGGTATGCTTTCGAAAATATATTATTTATTTCTTTAAGACAAACATAATGAAATTATGTGACTGTCTAGTTCAATTTATTTTTTATTTTAATAAATAATCTGCAAATATAAGTCCATAAAATGAACAAAATAGATCATCCAAATAGGTTGGTTATGGGCTACATTATCTATTTCTTTAACACAAACATATTGAAATTATGTGACTACCGAATCAATCTATTTTTTATTTTAATAAATAATCTACAAATAACCGTTATTATGTACGTCATTTACATGGATACATAAGCCTATTTCTTTGCTGCCTGTGTTTGCTCCCCATTATTCTCTATTTCACTATCTGACATGAAGTTCTTCCGATGGGTTTTTGGTTGTTTTTCCTAGGTTGACAAGAATGCAATCAAGTTCAAAACAAAACCGTTGGAGCACATGGACCTCATGCGAAGGGTGTACGAAGGCGCTACAGCAACCGGAAATATGCATGGACACCAGGTGCAGCGTTCGAACCTGTGGCACCCGATGACGGTACTTCGCAGGGGCCTGACGAAGACTGCGAGGACAACAGCGGGCTGCCCCCTTTCCAACCTGCCGCGCAGCATGAACACACTGTGCAGCACACTGTTGCACAAGAGGATGGCACGCCGGCAACTGTGCACGCTGCGTCGTCGGGAATTAACGCTGACGACATACCAACTAGTGGCATGAACAAACGCAAATCGCCAGGCCCAACACACCCACAGCGGAAAAGAGGGCAGAGTGAGGGAGCTTCTCTGTTGGCGAGTAGTATGGAAAACCTTGCATCCTCCGTGAAATTACAACAACGACAAATTCGCGTCTCACATGATTACGCAGATTCGGCATAGCACCTAATTCAGAAGTGTATGACACGGTTGTATTCGCTGGAAGGGTTGGATCCGCAAGACCCGCTAGTTCCTTTTGTTCAATCGGTACTTGACAACCCTGCAAATCAAGCCATAATGATGTTGATTCCTACAGACACGGCTGTCATTGCTTGGTTGCGAACGAAGAAGTCCCGTGAGCAATGCATTCGTGGCCCATCAGCAGCAAATCCCGGAATGGGTGGTGGCTGGTTATGAGATTTCCCAGCAAATAATTTGTGTCTCCTTATTAATGTTTGTGTGTTGCTTCTTTATTAATGTTTGGGTGGTGGCTGGTAATGAATATTGATGTAATGTTTCTCATGTAATGTTTGTGTGTTGCCTTTTGTTTTTCTCCCCCTTAGAACAAACAGTTGGGCAAATATCCTTCCTTCCCAAAACGATGGCATTGTTGGTCGAATTTTTTGGACATTATCAGTTGATAATATTTGTGTGATGATGTTAATATTGTAGTATATGCTTGTTGCTGCCAAATAGGTTTATTGTCATTTCTTTTTGATGAAACATAAATACATTATCTATAGACCATTTTGGATGAGTTCATTTTTGGTCACTTCAGTGATGGTGATGACAAATACATTCTATCGGCCCTTATGGATGAGTTCATTTTTGGTGGTTCGGACCACTTTGTCAATCTCATCCATCTATAATTTGTTAAATTAATAACAAAAATTTTAAAATCAATCAGATATAATTTTATCACACGAGGTGAGATTCACCTTCACCTTTCTTGCTAGAGAGTTGTAAAGTTTGTATTAAAATCTATCATATTACAAAGTGAAAAAGTAAAATTTTAAATCTCAGTTAAAATTATTCAAATCAAATACATAATGTAATGGTTTGAAATTGTGAAAACGTAATATTTGATATCTCAATCAAAATTAATCAAATCAAATATAATATACTGGTTTCAAATCAGTTTGAGTAATTTTTTTATTCCTTTTGATTAGGCGAGGAAACAACCTCCATAAACACAAGTCACTAGTTTTGGTAGGAAGTGCACGAAATTAGTTGATTACACATCAGGTTACTTTTTTAAAAAATTAAATTAAAATAACGAAAAGTTTTATACATATTAATAATTAAATTTATAATTTTTAGGGTCGTCCCGAAAAATAAAAACAAGACTTTTAGGGACAATTTTTAAAAGGTTATTAATAAATAGATTTTTTGGGACAAAATAATTTGGTCTAAAAAATTTTTACTTTTTGAGACAAAAAATTTGGTCAAAAAATGATATTAATTCATCACTAATATTTAATTTTTGTTGCTAAAAATATAATAACGACACTTTTTGTAACAAAATTATTTGGTCCCTATAAAATAATTTTATCCCTAAATTTTGATTTTTAAAACTTTAATTTTTTTTGTAGTGTATGATGGATTTGTATTTGTGTGATGCTTTTGCACTCACATCTCTTTATTCATGACTCAGTATTTTGTATTTTGATTTTACAATAATAATTTTTTTTTTTTTGGTGATAAAAAAAATAAAGGTCCAGATATTTGGAAACACACAAAATCTCTTAAGAGTTTATAAAAGAGAAGTCTATCTGGCTAGAACCCAAATTCAACTTATAGTTAATTAATTACTTAATTAATTTGTTATTGTTTGAATTGTACATAAATTTAGAATTTTTTTAGTAGAACTAAGTTAATTAATTTGTTAAATTAGACTCTATTTACATTTTTTTATATAAAATCATTAATAATATCAAAATAAATAATTTTTTAATGTGAGAGAAATAATAATTGAAGGACCAATATACCACTATAGTAGTCTTTACAATTTCTAAATGAGAAAATAAAAATGTGAAGTTTTATATTGTGAAACTTGTATATATATTCAATATGAACTAATCTAAATTACTTTAACATGATCCAATAACTAATAATTTATATATATATATATATATATATATAAATATATAATTTGGGTTTCCAATTATTTGATGTCTTTACCAAAGTCCACCTAAATTTAAATCATATTTCTAAATTTTTGCCTAAGAAATATTTAGTTCAAGTGTTAAAAAAATTCAAATTAAACTCAAATAGCTCAGATTTTTTTTTATTAATATATCCGAGATTGCTCAAGTTGAAGCCATCTAAATTACACTCCCTGGAGTTGATGTAATGAAGTCAAATTATGTGTCAATTTGATCCTTGTAGTTTACATAATGTGTCAATTTGATCTCTGTCAAAATCGAGCAAATTAAAATAACATGGATCAAATTGACACATCGTATGAACTACAAGGATTAAATTGACACATTGTTTGAGCACATGACAACTTTCGACCAAAACTAACAGCCGTTATTTATTGGATCAATATGACACAATCCGTTAAATTAAGAAGTAAAATCAAGCAATCTAAAACAACAAGAACTAAATTGACAAATCGTGTAAACCACAAGAACCATTTGCATAATTTACCCTTTTAATTATGTAGTAGTTGATAACAACATCAACCAATAAACAAACACTAAGCGTTTGGTAACGTTTACGTTTTTTATTTATGTTTATAAAAATTTTATAAACTGATTTTTGTTTATTTTTATAAAAACATAAACTACAAACGCGTTTGGTTTGAACAAAATGTTTAAAAAATTTTAAAAACAAACCAAACCAAACCAAACCAAGCCTTAAGTCCCATCAAATGGGGTCGGCAAAAAAATATATTTGTTCATACTTAAAATATTTATATTTATTTTTTATTATTTATGACAATGGGATCATACACATTATAATTGAAAAAAAAATTAATAAAAAAAATTTTGTTAGTCAAAATTTTAAATTTCTGTTTAAAAACCAACGTAAACTCATTTTTGGAGTTTACGTTTTTTCTTTAAATTTACAAATTGAGACAACCATTTATAAATCAAAAAAATTATCAAATAAGGTTTTATAACAGTTTTTTAAATTTTTATAAATATAAACTGAAAACGAAATAATTACCAAACAGGCCAGTGGACCACATTAATTACTTTTTGTTAAGTGAGTTATTTTGGGGAAGGTTTGATTTGTTTAAAACATGTCATGTTAGTCTCAATAAAGGATAAGATTAATGGGTTCTTTTTTCAATAATTAATTTTTGCATAGTTAACTAGCCTCAGCTATTATTTTAGCGAAGTTGTTTCCTTTAGTCTCAAATCCAAATTGTCATTTTTGACAACCCAAACTTTTATCAAGTGGGCTATCTTGAACTAGGCTTCATAGCAGGTTAGTGGAATCAATTCATAGTACTTGATAAGGTTTGAGGATTTTAAAAATTAACGAGGCAATTCTACTTCATCAGACCTTTGATATTCTATTTAAA